AGCCGCAAGTCTTCTCCTGTCCGAGGCAGGAGCCCAGATCATGCTGAGCGAAGAAGCCGTCGTCAGTCACCCTCCACTTCCAACTTTAGAGATCGCCGAGAAAATGCTGCCAAGCCTTCTCACAGCGGTTGTGCTCCACCCGACTCTCCAGAGAGGGACTGGTCGTTCCTTGACAATCCTTCACCTCCACGCTTTCTTGCTAGGAGGCAAGAGGAGTCTAATTCCTTGAGAAGGCACCATTCACCAGAACCAACTGACACCTACCCGGGTTCCTCTAAGTACCGAAGATCATCCAATCTTGGTAGTTCTATGCAGAAGTCTTCACCTCTGAGAAACTGGCGCGAGTCAACCATGAACTTCTCTACTTCTAACTTCAGAGATTGTCACGAAAATGCTGCCAAGCCTCCCCAGAGCCGTCGTTCTCCTTCCAAGTCACCTGAGAGGGACTGGTCGTTCCTTGACGATGAATCTCCATTGACCATCAAGTCCTCTAGGCTTTCTTTGACTAAAAGTGCTAATCAGTCTGACTTCAAACCACTGTTACCCAACTTGTCGAAGACTCTGAAAATTGACCCAGACCAACCAGAGTTTAGTCTTGGAGCGTCGGCACCATCTAGGCCCAAGAGGAAGGCAGCTGCTGCAGCCTCACACATTGTCGTCATTACTAGCTCCTGCTCAGAAGATGAGGAGCCGAAGGGAGCTGCTTCAAGGAAGAGGAAGAGAGGTCGCCCAGCAGGCTCCAAAAATAAGCCCAAGTGTAAGTTTTTTGCCTGTACTTGCGATTACTTATTTAATCCATGCATTAATTACTTTTTCTCTCTTCAGGTTTTGTGTGCAAAGTTTGTGAGGTGGAAGATGAGGAGCCTTTGGTCATCATTCAAGCATGTGGGGACATAATTCACAGGAAGTGTATGACTCAGGCATTGGAATCCAATGAAGAAGTCTGTGAGTACTTCAAGACCTGTCCTGTTTGCAAAGCTAAATTTCATCAGTTTTATCCATTCTTCGGTTAATGTGTAATGTTGGTTACCTTCCAGTTTTCCATTCACTTGCTC